TTTGATGGCATCATCCTGGGCAGTCTGCCCTCCCTTCCCCACTCCTGAGGCTCCTGCAGGCATTATCTCTGGGCACGTGCTTTGAAGATGGAGGCCCCAGGGGGCCGCAGGAAAGACTCCACTGAGGAAAGTCCAGGAAAAATGTGCACAGGGGATCAAGAAAATATATGGCTGTTCAGGGAAACCGTGGACATAGGGTGTCAGCCGTGAACCGGGACCAGAATCAGCGGGCAAAGTGTAGTAAAGACCTGTGAGATCTTTAAGGAAACGATCTTATTTTATTTATGAATTTATTTACATTATTGATGAAATTCTATAATTTTTTACATTCACTGGTTTAAATGTTAAGAAGAGTTGTGCAATCATCACCACAATCCATTTAAGAACATTTTCTCCATCTTTGTACCCATTACTGTTAGCTTCCACCCCCCACCCCTCCCACCTCCCCTGCTATAACCCTAAGGTTCATGTAGTTACTATGGCTATAGGTTTACCTATCCTGGATTTCATATAAGGAAAATCATATGAATAAAATCAAATAACACAACAACTTGAAGCGCACAAAATCCTCCATCGAAAGGAGAGTGGCAATTATGTAGCCCCCACAGCCACAGTTGACTGTGTCTATCCCAGCCAGCCACTAGGCGTAACCACAGTTTGAGATTAAGGTCATCTCTCTCTAGAACCCCGGTGAGACCGACCGCTGTTTAACGCTGTTTCAGACAGCAGAGAAATTCGAGAGGTGGAGTGCTATCCTTGAGTTTACCAAGTTGCAGGCCTCGAACTGCCATTTGTACCCTGTTCCCCAGCCCCATGCCTGGCCTTGGACGGCAGCTTCCCTTCTTTTGATCAGCACTGATGGTAGGGGATGCGATTGTGTTTTTCCAATGAGCAGCTGTTGCCGAGCGTGAGAATGCTTGAAAACAGAAGCGCAGCGTCCTAATTACCTATGGCAAGGAAAACATCTGTGTAGGAAAAGTAATGAAATTAATTCTAAAGCCTAGCAGTTGCATACATTAATTGACGTTAATTAATGCCAAATTACAAGACACTTCCTATGGAATCGCATCAAGCCGTCACCAAAATTGAATATGGAAAGAGTTCATCATAACTTAATGTGATTACAGCAAGCCCCGAGGGGAATAAGCGTGATTGGTCTCTCATTACGCAGTGCAGCCAATCCCCTCTGTTTCCATCAGGAAGAGCAAGGGAACCAGCTGAGTGCTCAGGGGCAGGCCCTGCAGAAGTGATCGTTTCCCCTGCAGCTGGCACCTTTGGCTTTGGGCTACTCTGAGCAAAGAATGGAATCTTCCTGTGGTTTGTTGTTGTTGTTTGTATGACCCAGTTATACATGTTGCCATCCTCCGTCGGAAGGCTGGTTTAACGCGCAGTTCAATTTTGGGACTTGGGGCGGAGTGGAAGAGGGTGGAACAAGCAGAGGGTTTGGGGACAGTTGAAAGCAGTCCCCTGCAGGATTCGCCCCCCTCACCTACCTGGAAGTTCTGGACCAGGGGTTTGCACCCAGGACGTCTGGCTTTCACATTGCCTCCTTTAACCGTTTTTGTTTGTTTGTTTTTTATGAGCTGTATTCTCACCATCTGTAAAATCAGATAGTGGATTGTATTTTACTGTCCATTGATAGATTATCATGCATAGTATTGAGGAGAATAAATAAGATTGTATTTTACTGTCCATTGATAGATTATCATGCATAGTATTGAGGAGAATAAATAAAAGTAAATATACCCTTGGCTAACTGGTACGTAGATACCTAGTAAAGATTAGTTTCCTTTCTTTTATTTCCTTCATAATTTCTTCAACTTTGTATTTTTAACATAGATGAATTACAAACGTGAAAAGTGTAGATTTACACGTTCCTTCTTCTGCCTGTTGGAGGGTCCTTTAAGAAGAGGCTGACATCTCAGGAAAGAAAGTGCTCGATGGTATTACCAAGGAAAGGCTTTAGTAGGAGTGAAGCATTGTGTATCCGTCAGGAAGTCCTCATTAAGTGTCAGACCTAGAAATTTTAATTGGAAATTTTGTATGTGATTTGAAGCTCACAACGACCTAATCAAGAACCTTTGACTTAATTTGGTTTGATATTTGTTTTTGTTCATTATCTCATAGAAATAGCAGCACAGAGGTAGGACAGCTCTTGACTCAATATAATCAGTAGCTCCATGATGTCATCGGGGAACAAGTCGATGTCTATCATACGAATTCTATCAACTAAACTATCAGGTTTAGTTGATACCACCCTAAGCCAGTAGTTCTCAACCTTCCTAATGCCATGACCCTTTAATGCAGTCCCTCATGTGGTGGTGGCCTCCCAAACATAAAATTATGTTCGTTGCTACTTCATCACTGTGATTTTGCTACTGTTATGAATCGGGTGACCCCTGTTAAAGGGTCGTTCATCCCCCAAAGGGGTCTCGACCCACAGGTTGAGAACCGCTGCCCTACAGCAAGCAATGATAAGAGGAGAGAGACCTTGAGAAGTCTTAAACCCAATAGGATTGATCTCTGCACATGGCAATGGATGAGTCATATGGAAGAAAGATGAGTAAATAAACCTTCAGTTGGCTCTTGTAGCAAAGAAGCAAGGAAGAGTGTAAATATTGGGAAGGCTATCCACAGCACTGCTATGGAAGTATAATGGGAATACGCCACTTCTACCAGCTTTTTAAGGACACCAATTGTGGCCTGTGAAAGGTAGCCATAAAGGCAACAGGAATATTATTAGTGGAATAACAGCTAACATTTATACAAGGTCTTTAAGGTTTCAAAACAGCATGTGTATCGTTTCAACAGAGTGTGACTTAAGAAATGATATTCCAGAGGGAGGGGTAAAAAGAGGAGCTGATACCAGGTGCTCAAGTAGAAAGAAAATGTTTGGGAAATGATGGCAATTTATGTATAAATGTGCTTGATACAATTGATGTATGGATTGTTATAAGAGCTGTAAGAGCCCCCAATAAAATGATTTATTAAAAAAAGACAGATTTGATATCTCTCTCTGAAGGATGAGGGAAATAAGACACAGGACAATGAAGCGATTTCTCTAGAGCCAAGTGACCAATTAGTGACATCATTTAAATTATATCTTGGGCTTCATAGTTAGAAAAATCATAGTATGTCTATGACCCCAAACCACCTTTCTAAACACCAAAGTCAACTTGAAAACAGTAAAAGTGCCCTCCAGAGTGTACAACCAGCAGGTGTGGAGCCTGTGTGTGTTGCCCCATTCATACAGCCATCTGGACACACTGATGTTCCCCTCCTTTTCATGGAACTGGTTTCTCCCCACATGTTACATTTGGGAAAGTGGGCTCCCACCTATGTCTATGATAGCTCATAGCTCAGAAATTGCCTTTGAGGAGAAAGCTCTTGAGGTGCGCCCTAGGGGAAGTACAGGGATGTTTAAGAAAGGAGATGGAGGATGGAATGGTAAGTAGACGACTTAAGGTTAGCATTGGGAGGTGGCTTCATCATGACTAGATGAGTTAAAGAATTCACAAGCTGTCCGCATCCCCACAGAGGGTGCAGGAGGAAGGAAGATTATGGGCCAAGCGCTCTTCCACCAGTCTCCTGAGAGCTGGTTGGCAGCTACATCAGTTTTTGGTTTTTCATTGCTAAGATAGAGCCAGTGTGCATGCCGCCCCCTAGTGTCGATCCTTGTCAAATTCACTTATACCGAAGTAGCACAATGAAGGTGTTTCTGAGTTTCCCAATTTCCTTTAAGGGATGGCATTAATGAATTCGGGTGAATTGTTGCTTACCTCCATTGTTGTACTTTGTTCTAAGTAAAAATTGTCTCCTGATTTTTTTTTAAGTGGAAGAGTGGATTTCTGCCAATGATCTCAAATCAAATCCACCAATTCATTAAGCAACAATAACAAGATTAAACTCTTGCTTCTTCAAAGAGATCTATTTCACCAGAAATAGGATATTCTAAGATGTATTTTTCCATAGTCTACTCTGTGGCATGTGACAGGAACTGCATTGAGAACCGGGCTTATTAACACAGCGAACACAAATAAAACGGTCTCTGTCATCCTTGGGTGAGAGGCCGGAGGAGGCAGTATTGGAAGTGGAGGGGATCCCAAATGAAAACGCTCTAAAGTGATCGAAATGGTGGGCAGATTTCTCGAGCATAAACTAAGCCTGATGAGAAGAAACACAGGAGAGAAGAGGAGATGAGTTTGGGAGTGAGGGGCGCGAAGGAGGAAGTATGAAAGGGGGAGAGGCTTTGAATCGGTTCTAAAGGCAAAAAGCGTGGTAGGAGGGCAGTGACGTACTGTGATGGTGCAGAGTGGCCAGGCCAGTTGAGAACCAGGGCCAGGCCGCCCAGTACACGTCAGTTCCAGGAATAAAGGTCCAGTCTCGCACTGAGCTGTGGTTGCCGGTGCCCTGTTCATCTGCAGTGCAGTCTCAGGTGCGATTCAATTTCCTCAGGGGTAAAACGAGAGCAAAGTGTTGCTTCCAGATCGGCTTTCTACTCTGCTTCCCTTCTAATTCATGGGAGAAGAAAACATTTATCTCAACAGAATCGTCTTATTTATAAATAGCCACAGCGCCACCAGCAAGAGATGATTGTGAGTGAGTTTCTATGTTTCCTTCCACAGTGGAAAATCAATATTTGGAGGTGACCTATTAATGAGAAAGCATATCTCTGAAATCTTAAGTGCTATTGCCAGTTTGGGGGAAACTGTCACCCCCCACCCTCCACCCCAGGGGAGTAAAGCTTCATTAACCAGAAGCAAGTGCTCTAAGGTAGCAAGAGTGGGTAGAGGTAAGGAGAAAGGGTGGTGGGGATGAGAGCGAGTCAGGAAAAGAACAATACTAATTTGGCCCAGAGTAGAGATAGCGGTCCGGATGTGTTTGAGAAAGGGGGTGTGCGGGTCAAGCGAGGACCCCGAGCAAACTGTACAATGTCCACTCGGACGCTCAGGCTCGGGGTGTCTCTGGCACTGCTGAGCTCCGTTTCCTTTTTCTTTCAGATTCCCAATACCTGAGTTGCCGAATGCAGAACTGCACAGAGACCAACCGAAACAAACCCTTCCCGGGCTACATTGACCCGGACTCTCTGATTGTCCAGGATGATTACGTGTTTGTTCAGGTGCGAAGGAGCTACCTCTATGGAGAATCATAGAGAGTTCTGTCCCTTTGTGTCTGCCCCTCCGCAGTCCCTGCTGCCCACTTCCTGGCCCTTCAGAGTGTAGAAAAAGATGGGGGCAGGGTGAGTAAGAAAGAAGCAAAATAAGAGTGTTGTCTTTTCAACAAAAGAACATGGCCACACGTGGAAGCCTCGGTGCCAGTGGGCTATTCGTGAGCTCCTCTGGGCGGTGTGCGGAGCACCTTTTCAGCACGGGGTCAGCCAGGTGGTGCATGGAGTCCTGAGCCTATCTCCATGTGGCCTCCAAGTTCCCTCCACGACACCCCCCCCCACCACATCTGCATCCTGAAGCAGCTGCCAGGCAAACACAGACCTGAGCACAGGTGTCACTAATCTCTTCCTTTCAGGAGAATGGTAGGTCCATCAGGCCTTCCTCTCCTCTTCTTTCCACCTGAAAACTAGAGAAAAGAGCAGGAATGGGGGAGGGTGTGGGGTGGGGGGAGGGAGAGGTGAGGTGGCGAGCAATCAGCCAGGATTGGCACGCACCGCCTGTGATTAGGATAAAGAGAACTCCGATGATGAGATGCATTCAGTCAGGCTTCGCACCTCCAGAGAGCACGGAAAACAGTCTGAGAAGTTTGGACAATGCACTTAAAAAGCCAACGGTTGCTTTCCGTGTGAAAAGTGGCAAGGGTAAACATGCTCAGGAGCTGGTAGGTACAAGTTCATGACCACAGAGACACTAAAACTATTTATTTGGAGAGGACACTGCGATTTGGAATATTTAATCTTAGGCTTTGAGAAAGCCAGTTTTCAAAAGGCTCAACATCAGCTTATGTACTTTTTACCTGATTCACAACAGATGATCTATGCCTAAACATGTACAAATACATGGACACTTGTCCACTGAGGTACACAGGCATACACTTGCATAAAGGGACGCACGTGTATGCATGCACACATGTGCATGCGCAGATCTCCATGCACACACAGATATGCGCACACACCATTTTACTTTTCTTCCTGGAACATGAGTACTCTGATAACCTCACCACGAAACTATCAAGTGACACTGAGAAGCGACATTCTCCTCGTCCTTCATTCCACCCCTTGATAGTCACTGAGCTGGATGGCTTGGACCGTGTTGGGGCGAGGAGCTCACCATTTTCTCTGAGAGCTTGAGATCTGGCTGGCCTGTGAACTGCTGCCCTGGCTTGACTCTCAAGATATCAGCCCCGCTGTCTGCACCGTCATTGCCATGACAATATCAAGCTGCAGTTCAGTGCCCAAGAGAGAGGCTCTCTTTCTGCCCCTGTGCAACCTGGACTATTTCCCCGATATTGCATGGGGGTTTGAAAGGTAAATAAAGCATTGACCATGTGGCGTGGCCTCGGAGCACCAGTCCAGTTGAAGAACTGCACTTGTGTCCAGTGGGTTCAGGTTCAGTTTGGGCATCTGGCCGACTCATATACGCTGTAGAACTTGTTTTGGAATTGAATGCCAACTCTGTAGGCTTGTCCCCGCTGGCTGTTCACGCTGTGTGTTGGCAGCTTCCCGCCACTATTCAGGCGGTGCTTTGACTGTCATATGTAACTCTCACGGTACCTCTTATCATCACTGTTGTGTTTGTGACCCAGCTGACATCAGGAGGACGGCCACACTACTACGTGTCCTACCGAAGGAATGCGTTTGCCCAAATGAAGCTGCCCAAGTATGCATTGCCCAAGGTATGGCCTGAAGCTCTTGGTTCCTTTCCGCATGGCTTCTGATCCCCAGTTCCTGCCCCACCCCGATCCCTTTCAGGTTCTGGTAGCCACTGGCTTCTCTTTCTTTTGATCTCTCATTTCTCTCGGTCACGCTCACTCGGCCTTTCTGTTTTTCCCAGTTTCTTTTTTGTGTACTTTACCCCTTTTTGTTTTCTTTCTCTTCTCTCTCTCTCTCATTTCTGGCTGGAATTCTTGCTATAGGAACTTTGGAATAAATTGAGTGGCTTTCCCCTTCCCCGAAGCCCCCCCTCCCTGATTTTAAATGCTCTGTCTTGATGTCCTACTATTTCTTTATTTCTTTTTGGGGGGTGGGGTGGGGGCAAGGTGTCTGAGCATCCCAGTTTATTGTTATTATTGTTGGCAGTTGTTTTATTTGCAGGTGGTGCAGCAATACGGCATCCAGCATTTGCTTTTTCTCTCCGTTGTAATTATGACTGATTTTCTTTAGAGTTTGCGATCCAGTCAGTGCCTAGATTTCCCCCAAAGACATGCCACTTTGAAAATGTTGTCAGGGAAGGTTAGACACCCTCACCTGCTGAAGTCCCTTGGCTAGCCTCCCATCAGTCCTCCAGAACTACATTAATATGGAGTGCCACCTAGTGGAAGTCAGACTGATAAGGGAACACCCACTGGATTACAGCCTTGCTGTAATCATGATGTTATCTTAAGTGGCCAGATGATTAGTTCATTGTATCTTAGTCAGCAGCCCTGGTGGCCTCGTGGTTCCCTGTTAGACAGCTAACCGCAAGGTCAGCAGTTTGAAATCACCAGCCATTCCAAGGGAGAAAGTGTGCAAACTCACAGTGGCTGTTCGGCCCTGTCCTGTAGGGTAGGACATGAGTCAGCATCAACTTGATGGCAGTGAGAGAGAGAGAGAGAGCGCGAGCGCACAAGCGCATATTGGTCTCAGAGCAGAAGTGCGTATACCTGTAAGAAGAAGAGTAGATTTAACTAGGATGGAAGCTCCTAGCTTTGAGCTCTTGTATTTAGACAGAGAAAATGAAGGCTGGGTGCATGTCTCTTGCTCTTGTACTTTCCATCTCTGATTTTGTAGTTTGCCATCTCAGACCAAAGGAAGTTGGCTGCACAGAGCACTCTGGTTTCTCCTGATAGAAGTCCACTTTTTGGTTAACACTGTACCCCTAAGTCTATCATAGGACAAGCGGTCTTAAACCTCAGCCCATTTGGGGAAATAACACATTGTTGACTCCAAAGCACCATAT